CTGCTTGTCGTCTGCTCAGGAGCACGCCAGGGCGCCCTCTCACACACACACGCGTACACGTACACACACACAGGGGGGTCCAGCGTCCAAATCAGATCCGACGACGTCAACGTCGCGTGGCAGCGGGTCCGCGCGGTGAGGGGATTTTCGCGACTACGTGACTCGCGAAGCGTTTGCCTCCGGCGCGGTCGGCCGGCGCGCTCGTCCCCGCGCACGCACGCGGGCGCACGCAGGGCACACGGGCACGCGAGGAGGAGGCCCGTCCGGGTCGCAACTCGCGGAGCGGGCGGCGCGGGCGAGAGAGGGGGCGTCGTCTGCCTGGGGCGCGCGCGGCGGGCTTACTGAGCGAGAAGCGAGAGCGGCGAGCGAGCGGCGGCACGGCGGCAGCCAGCGGCACCACTGGCCCCTCTCTCCCTCACTCGCCGCCCTTCTCCCCCTCTCGCCCGCCACGCTGTGGGCCACGCCGTGACGAGCCGAGCAGCGCCAGGCCGAAGCCGGGCCGGGCCGCAGCGGAGCCGGGCCGGCCCGCGGGCCTCTACCTCTTGTGCCTTCCCCCTTCGCCACCACGTGGTCCGCGCGGCCGGCTCGCCGCGGCGCTGTCCTGCTCCTGCCCCGCGCCGCCACACCCCGCCCCGCCCTCTGACCTTCAGGCGACCTCTCCCCTCTGCGGCGTCCTTGAGAAGGCATCCTCCAGCAGCAGTGCTCCAGCGGCTCGTTGTGCACCAGTGCCCGGGGTCGGGCGGGGCGACGGCTCCCCGTGCGTGCCACGGCATCCTCCAGCCGGCTGCAGGAGGCTCGAGCCGGCTCCAGCGGCTCCAGCGCCGTAAACACACATAAGCCCACTTCAAAGAGCCACTCTATTGCCCAGCCTTTCCCTGGCTCTATCTCACTCCCCTTTCCTTGGCCCTTGTCTCGGAAAATGAGGCGTATCAAGCAGGGCTCTCCTTCTGACGAATATAAAGCAAAGTTGGCTTCCTCGCGCGATCACTTCGGCGTCACGCTGTTCCGACTTCATCCATCGCATAGAATCTGTCCCTTTTCCGACAGCAAAAACTCAGCAGGACATCGTCCTTCCGCGACATCATTCCAGCAGCGGCGTTAGTGTCTTTTCTTGTCGACCGTGTTTCCCTCCCTGCGGCGTGCCGGCGCCGGCCGCCCGAAAGGTCAGCGGTTGGTCGGCGGGGTCAGGCAGATGCTCGCTGGATCAGACCCGACTTCCCGTTTAATTACTAACGCCATAGAGGCTCTCGGCCCGGCGCGCTGGGGTGGAGAGGCGGTGGAGGCCTCCCTCTGCTTGGCCGCCCGTGCCGCCCTCGCTAGCGGCTTCACCGGGAATGGAGTCGGCGTTTTGGTTTGATGAAGGCGAAGCAGTCCCTCCCCGATGCGAGGGCGGAAGTATTCTGTACGCGCCGCGGCCCGAGTCTCTCCGACCCTGCCGCCTGGAGGGCTGCTCTCTACTGGAGAAGGAATCCCCCTCTCTTTGGAATTCCGCGCATCTCGGAGGGCCTCGACCTCACTACTGCCTTTTCCAGCAGCCAGCTTTGTGTTCGCCTCAAAATGTAGACAGCCACTTTGGAATCGTTGGCGAACAGGAAATTATTTCAAGTAATTATCTACGGTGCGCCACCTGGAAACGCCTTCAAAAGACAAGCTACCCTTTGCTGTTGACGACCGGATGTAGAATATCTCGGAAGCGGATCCTTAAACAATGTTGTGCGACGATAAAAACAAATAAAATAAAAGAGAAGACGGAAATTGAATGGAAACTTGTTATCCCATGCCCCTCCCTCCTCCTCCTCCTCCTAAGTGAAAACAGGTTGCGTCAGAAAAGTCCTCCGAGACGGAAAAGGTACGGGAGAAAAGGTTATGAAAACAAAACACGAAAACTCTCAGACGCGACCCCTCATAGCAGAAAAGGCGAGCGTAGCCCAGAATTGATGACAGCTTCCTCATCGACATTCCACGCGCGCGGCGCCGCGCGGCAGCCACCCCCGTGAGTGCCCCACCCGGCACCACCCACCACCAGCCCCTCCCCCTCCCCCCCTCCCGGCCGCCCCCGCGGCGCGGATGTGGGACCAAGGACGACCCGGCGCCGATCTGCGGGCCGCGCTGACTGCGCCGCCGTGGCGTCCACAACAGCGCCGTGATCTCCCCGCGCGGATCCCTCGGATCCTCCTCCTCCCACCCAACCGGCGGCCGACCCCCCACATTTCTATCTCTCTCGCTTTTATTGCATCCGCCGTGATGACGCTCATCGGAAGCACGAGAGCAGCAGAGGAGGAGGAGGGGAACGGGGTGAGAGGGTTGAGGAGATATGTTTGGGGGTCAGTGGGGAGCGCCTGCGCCCAGCTCTTCTGGAGGAACACGAAGCAAAAGGGGGGCAGCAGAATTGAAAGGCGACGACGCGCGGCGCCCGATTCAATTTAAAAACTTTCCCCAAGGAGGGGTGTTTTCCTTCTGCTTCGTGAAAATAGAATGATCGCGGCATGCGAGCAGCTAAAGGCGTCTGCCCCGCCCAGCCCCGTCGGGAGCACCGGAGCGGGTAACGACTCGTGTCGGCGGCCGAGGCGTCCGTGCGGAAAGGTGCAAAACAGCGAGTCATAGGCGTGGCGGGGCGGGGTGGGGCTGGGCGGGGCGTCACAGTCGGGCCATAAACTCTTGTGGATCGTTTCTTCTTCTTCAGTCGATGCTGCTCGCTGCACCGCCGGCGTGCCGACCTGGCCGACGCTAGAGTAGACCAAGAAAAACTTTTTGTTAAAATGTTAAATTTCACATTGCCCATCTCGTGCCAATCCATAAAAAACGCTCTCAAAAAAAATTTCAGCCAGATCGGACAATATTTGACCCTCCCGAAGTGGGTTCAAAGTTAACATTAGTTTCTTATGGGTCATCGGGCCAAAACGTTACACATTTGGCCTGTGGCTCAAACTATCAATCGTA